CTCAACAGTTGTTCATACTTTATAAAATGAATAACAAGCTGGGCGTGGCAGTGCACTCCTGTAATCCCAGCATTTAGGAGGCTGAAGCAGGCAGATTGTGGCAAATTTGAGATCAGCCTGGGCTACAACGAGGTGAGCCCAAGTCCAGCCTGAACCACATAGGAAGATCCTGTCACAAAAAGACAAAGAATAACAATACATTTGAGTCACCAGAGTAACTCAGTTGTATCAGTCAATGTTGTAACATTGCAATCACAGCCGTCTGTGTGGACATGTAAGATTCTTGTTCTATCATTCTGTCTCCTAGGTAGTAATGCTTGAGCAATTGTATCATGGGATTGACAGGATTTTATTATTTCCCTTTGATTTTTCCTTTATGCAACAGTTGATTTTAGCAGTGATACATGAAGATGTAACATTATCTATGAATGTTTCAAGACAGCAAAGGGAACATGACAACATCTAGTGTGAGAAGAATATTGGACCAGAAGTGCTAAAAGGACAAGCAGGGCCCACATGTAAAAGACTGGGCCAGAGATTTACTTCAGCGACATAAGCGCCTGCCTGGCAAGCCTGAGGAAAAAAAGACTGTGCTATTAGGCATGGTAGCGCATGTCTGTAATGCCAGCATTCGGGAGGCTGAAGTAGGAGGATCATTGCAAGTCTGAGGCCAGCCTGGGCTACAAAGTGAGTTCAAGGCCAGCCTGAACTGCATAGTGAGACCCTGTCTCAAAATAAAAAATAAATGACTAGGCAAATAACTAAATTATTTAACTAGTTAAAATGTAAACTATATTGGTACTTGATGTGGTAACCAGAATAATGCCCTCCCAAAGATGTTCGTCTTACACTCCATAACCTATAAATGTGTCAAATTACACAGAGAATTAAGGGTGCAGAAGGAATTACAGTTACTAATCAACTGACTTTAATGCAGGAATTATCCAAGTTGTGCCCATTATAGTCACAAGAGTCCCTAAAAGGTGGCAGAGGTTGGCAGAAGAGGGGAGTCAGAGGAAGGTGTCATGAATCAAAGCCCAAAGAGAGGGAACATTGGTGGGTTTGAAGATAGACAAAGGAGCTGGCATAGGAGCATGAGCCATCTCTTAAAGCGGGAAGAACAAAGGAGTATTCTTGTGGGTCCTCCTCAGACTCACAGCAGTCCTCCTGTCTCAGCATCCAGAGTGCAGGGATGACAGGCGGGCGGCACCACCTCTCCTGGCCACTTGTGTGGTTCAAACTACTAAATTTGTGGACATGTGTTACCCAGGAATAAGAAAACAAATACACATGATGTGGTGGATTAACTAATGGGCAACTTGTGCTGGGTGTGCAGAGCCCCCCTGAGGACTGTTGCCAACGGCACAGGAGGAGGACTAGAGGGAAGTTGGTCCTCTTGGAGAAGCTTGTCATGCTGGGATTCCTGATATGAACTCAGTCATTCTCATCCTTGGAAGAGCTTTGGTCCTCACTGTTGCTGAGGATGGCTGCTATTCTTCTTAGGGGAGCTCTGGTCCTTACCTTGAGTGTCACTTCCTGGCTCCAGTGCAGATCCCTCAGCCTCTGGCACAGATCCTTCATCTCACTGTACAGACTTTCTAGCTTCCACCACTGACCTTTGGGCCTTCCCAGCACAGATCCTTGATACAAACTTCATATGATTTTGCCACGGGCTCTGAGTATTCAATTGAACTTATGCAGGACATTGCTGTGGGATCCAGGTCTTCAACTGGATTCTTTGGGTCTTCAGAGCATGACATATCTTTTGCAGTCTTTTGCATTTGACTCTTTAGGTGGATATTATAAAATAATCCTATAAGTAATGTGTCCTATGTTAAATCTATTCCCCTGTACACCCTGACTACAACATATGAAAATATACTGTGTATGAAATATTGTTAAATGAAAAATGAAGAATTCAAAAGACACAGGTGCACAACTTTGTGAGACAGGGTGAAGGGTGGAGATGGGTGAAAGTGGATGAGGCAGACCACTGAGCAAGGCTCAGCAGACCCCAGTCCTAGGCCCAGCCCCACTATCAACTTGCTGTAAGAAATTTTTTAAGAGTCATTTTATAGACCTCACATTTTCTCATTCTGCTAACAAATATTTACAGAGCATATATTACTGACCAGACTCCAGGCTACGTTATCTGGTATCAAAGGATAAGACATTAGCCAGGTATGGTAATCCCAGCACCCTAGGAGGCTTAGGCAGAAAGATCACACATTTGAACCCAGCCCGGGCAACAGTGACTTAGGAAGACCCTGTATCATAATAAAATAAATAAAGGGCTGGGGAGGTACCCCAGTATGATAGCCCTGGGTTGAATTCCTAGTAACACTAACATACACACACACACACAGATAGAGAGAGAGACAGAGAGACAGAGAGACAGAGAGAGAGAGAGAGAAGCAAAACAAAACAAAAGCAAAGCTCTCAGGAGACTCTAACATACTTTATCAAAGACAGGAGTGATTAGCTGTCCTCTGAGATCTCATTCAGCTTTAACAGTGAGTCCATGAGTCTAAATAAATGTAATACTTCCTACTTTATGTGCGTGAATATGTGTACAAGGCCATACAAGTTCATAAATGTCTTGGACTCCAGGACAGTTTTTTGTTGGTTGGTTGGTTGGTTGGTTGGTTTGTTTGAGACAAGGTCTCATTATGCAGTTCAGACTAGGCCATGATCTCACTTTGTAGCCCAGTCTGGTCTCAAACTTGCAATTGTAAGACCGGTGTTGCAAAGGAGACTCCAAGGGCTCTGCTCTCATGTAAGAACAAAGGGGTTTTTATTATTCCGTGCACACGGAGTCCTCCAAACAGGTGGAAACGGAGAACCCCGAGTTGGGGCAAGGCTGGTGCTTTTAAGGGAAAAAACCACAAAGCAAGCGTTTTTTTTATAGAAGCCAATCATAGCAGTTAGAGCGGGATCTGTCTATTTGTGGTTGGTTAGCTCATAAGGGATGACCAGCGGGTCAGAGTTAATTAACTGTCTTGTTCTGCACAACTTATCTTTAGGACACCTGGTTTCTGTATGGTTCGAGTTTGACATGCTTTACAACCCTGATTGGCGTAATCGGCAGGCTCTATCTCTGAGTTCCCTGGCACAGCACAGCCCGAGCATATCACAGCTGCAGATGTTTTCTTTTTGATCCTCCCTCGGAGCTGAGTTTGGACTAAGTCATGAGGCCCAGCGCTGTTTCTAGCTGAGAAACAGCATCTTGTTTTTAACCTTTAAATTTCTGGTCCTTCACAATGATCCTCCAGCCTCAGCCTCCCGAGTGCTAGGATTAAAGGAGTACACGACCACTCCTGGCTTCCAGGACAGTTTTGTGAAATTATATCACTGGAAAAGTTTATCTACAACAGCAAAATAAATCACCACATAAATTTCTTGCCTTTCTTTTTCTTTTTTTCTTTCTTTTTTTTTTTTTTTTTTTGTACTGGGAAACAAATTCAGGACCTTGTGCTTGCCAGGCAGGCCCTGCACCACTGAGCTGTGTCTCCTGACCCTAACTCCTTATATCAACACAAAGCGTCTGTTAAAACTTTTCTTTTTTTCTCATAATTAAGTATAAGCATTGTCATCACTTTCATTTCCATTTATTTTCAATTCAGTGCTCCCCTACCCTCTGAAAAAATTAGTGAGTGCATACTGGCATCAGCTTCTCTTGACAGTCTTAGCTCACAGTGCTGTACTTACACTACTTTCAATTTACATGCATAAAAGGCTATTTGTTTCTGTTTTTTGATATAAAATCTTGCAGTGGTTGGGTGTAATGACTATGTCTATAATCATAACACTTGAGAGGCTGAGGCATAAGGATCATGTAAGTTCAAGGTCAGCCTGGGGTGGACTATATAGTGGGTTCAAGCCCACCCTGAACTATGTAGGAAGACCCTGTCTCAGACCACAAGTACCCAAGCATACCTCCCAAACACAGAAAGAAAAAATCTCACAATGTTCCTGTTAGGTCTGAGAGAAGGGGGAAGGCGGAGAAGTCCGTGGGAGGAATGGAGCGGAGTGGACGGCCATGAAAGTAGTGGTCAGCGGTGGCTTTATTCTGGGAATGCGGGGAGGGGGCCCCCGCCGCCGGCCCCGGGCACAGCATCTCTGCACCGAGCCCAGGGCCAGGCTGTGGTCTCTCCGGGAACACGGGGAGTGGAGACTGGCGCGCTGGCCAGCACTGGCCGCTGGAATCTGGCGGTCTCTCTCTCTCTGGCGAACTCCCTCTGGCGAACTCCCTCGGACAAGTGGCGTGGGGGAATCTAAATAGCCTAAGCTTAGGGCAGTGCCCCAAAGGCCATTAGAGATGCACAGGTATCTCATTGGCGCACAGGTCCTTAAGGATGGGGATATAGGATTACAATCAAGTGCATAGGGGGCAGGGGGGGGGGAGGAGTTTAGCTGCAGCCTTTTCTGGTTACAGTGTTTTATCTGGGCCGGCAACTCTTTCAGTTCCCTAGGCTGGTGTGAAACTCAAGCCAGCCTCCCTGCTCAGCATCCCCAAAAAGGCAGGACCACAGGCTCACACCAGCACACCCAGCTATGCACACCTACCCCACAGTGTGCACCACTGTGCCCAGCCTGGAGACAACTTTGAATGAGTACATTTTGAGACAGATTTGAGGTTCTTAAAACAAGGGAGTTAAATACATTGCCAGCCACACACAAGAAATGTAAACAGTATGTACTATAAACATGCACTAATTTTTTAAAAAGTAAAAATTCATTTTAAAATGAGGGAATGAAAGCTAGTCACAGTGGGACACACCTATAATCCCAGCACTCTGGGAGACTGAATCAAGAGAATTTTGAGTTTGAACCCAGTCTGGACAATTTAGTGATTTAACAAGATCCTGTCTCAAAATAAACAACACAAACCAAGCATTGGGAATGTAGTTTAGTGCAACAATGCTGAGTTCAAGCCCCAATCCAGGCGCAGGAGTGATCTTAAAGAGGGAGGGGAAAAGAACAAGAAGAGTTGTAACGAATAAGGAAACTAAAGATTTTTTTTTTAATTATGGGAAACGGTATTAGGAAGAAGAGTGAAAGATAATTCCAAAAAATTACACATTTATCCAATAAAGGAAAGAAAGCAATATATCACTTTTCCTCTGGAAGCTTCACTTGGTTTTATTCCTGCCCCCTACTCCCAAACAAAGGGGCCCCACTAGTCACAGTGTCCTTTGGCCCCTTGGAGAACTGTGTTATTAATAAATGAGCCATAAGCTCAGTGGCCTTCTAACGTCCCCTGCAGGTTCTCCAGGCAACCTTTTTCCCCCCCAGTACTGGAGCTGGAACCAGACCCTAGCACATGATAAGCAAGCTCTTAACAACACCTGACTCCTCTTTCTCTTCTATTTTAATGTGGCTCATCAGACCATGCCTGGTCTTTCCAATGAAACTCCTAGCAATGAGGCATGGAGGTTTTAACAGTTGTATTGTGGAGAACGACCCTGAGATTATGCTTTGGCCTTTCCTATGCACATGAACTGAGATTTCATCATTTGCAAAAAACTGGTAGGTTTGTGTCCTGTGAGTGATTTAGTTAAAACGCATAAACCTTGACAGGGAGACCTGGGTTTTAATTCTGATAAGATTATATCCAAAAGATGAGAAGTATAAAACAAAAGAGGCCTTTATTCTGAGAACTCGGAGAGAGAAAACCAAAACACCCCCGACCGCTGGATTCCGGCTTTCTTTCTGGCCGACACGTGGCGTGGCGGGGGGGGGGGGGGGGGGTATGTAAGTAGCTTCGGTTTGGGGTGGAACCTATGGGGGCATTAGGGATGCACGGGTAGCCCATTGGTCTTTGTTTGGCGCCAGAGTAATTCCTAGGGGTGGGGGAGATAGGAGCTCCTTGGTTCCGCCTCTAAGGCTTCACCCGCTACAGTGTCCTGTCTGCGCCAAAACCCTTTCAAATTACTGCTCCATAACTTACAAACTGTGTAGTTTTAGGAAAATTCAATAATCTCTCAGAGCTGCCTCCTTGCCTTTAAAAGTGGAGTACCCCAAGCCTGGTATGGTAGCCCTTGCCTATAATCCCAGAATGCAGGGGGCAGGGGTAGGAGGATTGTGATGAATCTTGTAATCCACAAACGAACCCCCAAGCTCCAGTTTAAAAAATGAGGCAAAAACATATTTTAAAAAGCAGCGCTGATTTATCTTACCCTGGGCCCAGCAACACAGTGCAGCTAGAGACTGCAAAAGCTGTGTCCTTCCTCTAAACTTGCCGCCCCTCCCAGTACCTATCACAGCTCCCAAAGTAAAGGTCATGGGCGTGGGTGTGGATCAGGAGATAGGCTAATGGGAAGATCCTGTTTTCCTCAGCAGAGAATAGAAGAGTCTAGCAGCAATTAACAACCTTTGTTTTCCTTAGGAGAGGATAGGGAAGTCAATTCTTTACAGAGGAGAGCATTGATTAACATATCAACTAGGTCACCCAGAGGGAGAAGTGGGGAGGGAAACATATATACAGTATGGCCACATTACAGGTATTTTGGTATGATACAAATATAACAAAGTTATTTTTTCTAGAGTACAACAGTGAATATGACATCAGCCTGGGTTACATAGGCCAACCTGAACTGTATAGTAAGACCCTGACTCAAAAAATAAAAATAAAAACAAAAGTGAACAAACCCAAATAGAACTGTGAGGGTTAAACCTCATATCATGTGCCTAGACCAGCATAGGCTACATAAGGAAATCAAGGTCAACCTTGCCTCAATAAATGAATAAACAAACAAATAAATAAAATGCCTCATTAGTATCTACAGCCTGGTAGCTCCTTGTAGTGATTGATTGATTGTGTCAATTTGAGACATTTAGAAGCTTAACCAAATGGGTTTAGCAACTCTATACCCGAGGGTGTAGAAGACCCACCCTAGGGTGGCTCATTACATGGAGGTATAAAAGGGAAAGAAGAAGGATGAATGCATTCCATTCTTTGGAGAAGCTTTAGTCTTCACCTTTGGTTTGGACATCATCGGCTGGCTTCCATGTAGACTCTTGAGCTTTCTGGCAAAGACTCTTTTTTTTTAAAATTTTATTTAAGAAGAAAAAGAAAAAAAAAAAAACAGAAAAAGGGTACAAGTTATATAGAATTTCAGAAAAAATAAACAGTAGGAAATAACTAGTTAATAGACTACATATTGTCATCTTAGAAATAGCTGTTCAAGTTACATAAAGTGGACATTCAAACAGTGAGACTGCAAACAGTTCTGTTCAGTGATCCAACAAAACTCAGTAATATGGTTATCTATTTTATACACTTAAATATATATGCAGTTATATCCTTTAGAGCACTTTCTTTTCCTCTCTTTTGTACAATGACAATTACACATTTTGGGTTTTATTACTCCCACAGTTCTTATTACTTTTTTTGAAGAGAATAAAACCAAATGTGACATAACAAAACAGAGTCAGTCAAATCAAAAGGATGGACATAATATATACTGTAAAAACAAAATACAAGGTGATCAACATTGGTTACCATAATGCCTCTTGCTATCTTAAAAAGAATTGCCTATATCATCAGTTATAATAAAATAGACTCCTAAGCCTTCCCTTGTAGACTTTTGGCCTTCTGTCACAGACCCATCAGCCTGCTGGTGCATTCTTGCAAGAGACACTAAGGTAAACTCCAGACCCTGGATTGAGTCCTTTGGCCTCCAGTGTGCACACACCCTCTGCACGCTTCCTCATCCGACTGGCTGACAATTGTAAGCCAACTTTGTCATTTTTTATACATTTGTATTGTTGCAGTAAAATATTTAAAAAACTAAAATGCAAAGTTAAAAAGATTGACTGGCGCACTGACCACACAGTTATAGATTAACTGACATGTCATCATACTGTTCTGTATGCATCATCACCTTAATAACCTGTTTGCTACGTCAGCCTTTGTTCCCTTTATGAGAGACAAATGATGCTGTGTCAACCTTTGTTCCCTTTATGAGAAACATGTTCCTGGAATTAGTAGACCAAGGGTAGTAAATTAAGAAAAGAAAGAGGTAACCACCAACTTGGAAACATCTCTGACCCCAAGCAAAAGGGAACAAAGGCCTTCCACATTCTTGCTCGCTTCATATCACTCCTTACTTTGAGGTTTAATCGCTATAAAAATCTGTCAAAAGTGTAACCCAGTTGCACAGCTTTGCTAACTCCATCTGCACTGTGCTGCTGGTGCCAGTTTAAACAAAAGCGCTCTTTTAAAAAAGACATCTTGCCCCGTTTTTACATCTTGGAGCCTTGTTTTTTGGGGTACAACAGTATATCTCATGTTATATCTGTTTTCTCTAGTAAAACCCTGACTAATACACTCCTGGGATTACTTAATTCCAAAGAGTTAAAGAGATTGCTAGGAATTCTGCATCTCCTGTGATACAGAAACCAAGGTAATATAATAAATTTGTAAAAATCTTAGTCTTTTTTTTTTTAAACAGCATCTTGCTAAGTTGTTCAAACTAGCCTTGAACTTTTGGTCCTTCTGCCTCAACCTTCCAAGCTGCTAGGATCATAGTCTTGTGCCATCTTGTCCAGCTATAATCTTACATTTTTTTAGTCTTCCCCCATGGCCTTCTTCTTCATGCAAAAGATACCTGCAATTTCTGTGGTTTCTGACCTGCAGTGAGAAATCCTTCAGGGCAAGCCCATGCTTACTGCAACTGCCGGCTCTGCCCTGCCACTTGCCCGCCCAGCTCCCCCGAGAGGAACACTGTCCCACACCCCATTTTCCAGGTCCATGCTCATGGTAGCACTGTACTTATAACTCACAGCACTTATTTCTTGTAGCCCTACAAGCACTGCACAGGGTTTACCAACAGGCTTCACATGACAGACATCTAAGCCTTGGAAGCTTCTTTCCCTGACCCTAATCTCCACTCAGGGGAGGTCACAGATACTGCTCTTCATCCAGTCTTTGTTTGTTTGTTTGGTAGTGGTGCTAGGGGTCAAACCCAGATCCTTGTGTGTGCAAGGCAAGAGCTCTAACACTGAGCCACATCCTGAGACCTTTATCCAGTCTCAACATGTCTGCTCTACGGTACTATCTGCCAACTGTCAAAAAGCAGCAGTTCAAAATCCCTCCCTCTGATACATGCTGAGATTAGGTGGAACTCACATTGCAGCCCAGATTTGAAGGAAAGCTAGATGACTACTGCTGGTGGCAATTTCCAAGCTCTTTGAATCACTAAACATATTTCATTGTCTTTGAGGTACAATAGGCTCTTTCATGGAATAGATAGAGTTGGCGAACATCTTGCCTCTCACTGTAAAAAAGAAGAAACAAGCAAACAAAAAAAGGGAAACATTCCCAAGGACTTATTTTATATATCTGACTCTTTTATGTACAATATGGAAAACAAAAGGATAAATTATATCCTTCTCACTTTTGTGAGACCCAGCAGAATAAGCTTTGAAGTTTTTCCAAGATCTTAATTACCAGTACTCATCAGTTAAAGGTGTAAACTATGAGGTATTGAGAAAAATAATCTCTTTACTTACTGAAAATTAATCTACAGATATATTAGGATATAATTAAAGATGCATAAAATCTTCCTCATTACCCACAGGATGTGTATTAACAGCCAAAAAAATTTCATCTGACCATAAGTTCAGCAAGATTCAGGATAGAAGTAAAACAAGAGCATTAGATAATTAACCAAATACGTAGGATAATAGACCCCCAAAAATGTCCATTATTAGTTTCTAGAAACTGAAAAGTTATGTCACATGAAAAAAATGATTTTGCACACATCTATGTTTTTAAAGATCCATACATGGGAAAATTACCCTGGATTTATCTGAGTCCCATGTAATCTTTTTTTTTTTTTTTTTTTTTTCCTTTTTTCTGGTACTGGGGATCGAACTCACGACCGCCTGCTTGCAAGGCAGGTGCTTATGCCGCTGAGTTAAATCCCCAGCCCAAGTCCCATGTAATCACAAGAATCCTTCGCATGGAACAGGGCAGAAAAGTCAGGGCAGAAATGAAGGCAGCCCCAGTTTCATAAATGCTTGCTAGGAGCCCAAACCAAGGAATCTGGCGCCCTCTATAGGCTGAAAAGGGCAGGGAAACGGTTCTCCCCAAAAGTCTGCAGAAGGAAGATAGTAGATAACCCCGCTGAAACCTAGATTTCAGCCCTATCCAAAACCGTTTTTGATCTTTTGACCCCCAGAACTGGAAAGTAATGAGTTTGCATCGCTTTACGTGACCAAATTTAGGGTAAATTTTTACAGAAGCAATAGGAAGTTAGAGCACAATTCTGGCTATTTCAGGGGGATGTGCAATTTTGGTAAGAATATATTCATCACAATTGTCAGATTGTGTGATGTTTTCTTTGTATGTAGCCGGTGATACTATAACCAATTTCAAACGAAATTAAAGAAAAAGGCTTTAAAAATAGAAGATAGAATTATTACAGTTTTTAAGATTAAAACCAGACACTTTATGGAACATATAGCTGCAAACAGTTCCACACAGTGACACAAAAAGCATGTGATAAAAGATTGCAAGTATCTGTGTTACTCCTAATGTGGATCTTCCTCCTCCTCCTCTTCCTCCTCCTCCTCCTCTTCTTCTTCTTGCTTTTTGAGACAAGGACTCACTATGTAGTTCAAGCTGGTCTTGAACTCAAAGTGATCTTTTTGCCTCAGCCTTCTGAGTACTGGGATTACAATCATGCAACACCACATCCAGCCTATCCTAATGTGTTTCTACACAAGTTAGTAAACTGTCAGAATTGTTAGGAGACTAATGACCATGCTTAAAGCCTACTTCTCCTCATGTAACATATCGGCATAGAGCCCCAGACTTACAATTCCTGAAACAAAACAAAAATATTAATAATAATAATGTTATTATTAAATATTTCCTGCCAGGTATGGTAGTGCATGCCTGTGGTCCCAGTACTTGGGAGGCTGAGGCTAGAGAATTGCCATAAGTTCAAGGCCATCCTGAACTGCACAGTGAGACCCTATCTCAAAAAACAAAAACAAAAAAACCTCCCTGCCAGCTCTGCCCTGCAACTTACTCACCCAACTCCCCTGTGAGAAGCACCACTCTGCACCCCATTTTCCATGTCCACACTCATGGTAGCACCATACTTACCACTCAGTGCTTTTTTTTCTTATAGCCCTACAAGCTTTGTAGAGCGTTTACCAACAGACTTCACAAAGACATCTAAGCCTTGGAAGCTTCTTTCCTTGACCCTGATCCCTACTCAGGGGAGGATTTGGTGTTGTTTCTTAATACCTATCAAGGTTTTGGGGACCGGGGGTATAGCTCAGTGACATAGTACCTGCCTGACAATTGTGAAGTCCTGAGTTGGATGCCCAGTTCCCCCAAAAAAGACATTTTTTATGCAGGATTATCTGAAGTATGTATGTCACAGTACAGTCTTCTCTGAATTAGTACATATTACTATAAAGTGTTGTTTTGCCTCCCCTCCTGGTGCTCCTCCACTCCTTTTTAAATTCTTCTCTGAGCTTTGGGGCTATCTTCTTATAATGAGAAACATAGTGAAGCCCTGGGACATTTTTTTGCTGCCTTTATGGTAGGGGTGGACTGAAGATATTCACTGATTACATAGATTCCTCTTCCTGAGAATCCTTGTATGACCCTATGTTCTAAGATGTCAGCATTAAAAGTAAGTTTCTTCTACACAGAAGGTTGTTCTATTTAAATCTTATATATACATTGCAAAGAGGTATAAAATAGAACTATTCAGCCAGGAATGGTGCTGCATGCCTATAATCTCAATACTTAAGAGGCCGAAGCAGAAGAATTGCTGCAAATTCAAGGCCAACTCCTGCTGTGTCCAGTGCAGCTTTCAAAGTTCCTGAGTGGAAAGGATGATGAGAGGATGGAGAAATAAAGGTAAGAAACAGAAAGCTTAGGTCAGATGGAGCTCTCTTTCCAGATGGGAGGCAAAGGAACTGCTCAACTGCCCTAGCATATTTATTTATACATTTGGCAGGTTGGTGTCATGTGACAGACACCCCTTTTGCCTAGTAATCCACCACTTGGATTGTCTTGGGGCTTGGTGTTCTCTGGATTGAAGCAGCTTGTTCAGTGACTTGCCTCTAATGCTTATTGTTCTTGGAGCTTGCCTCATCCCTGTATGTGTGATCAATTTCCAGCTTCAGTGGCTCCCTTCAAGGCTCTAGGTACACAGTGAGTTCAAGGCCAGCCTGAACTACAAGAGAGATCTTGTTTCAAAAACAAATAAACAGGGGCTGGGGATTTAGCTTAGTGACATAAAGCACCTGCCTCAAGTGGGAGGACATGAATTTGATCCCCAGTAGAAAAAATAAACACTACACAGTGCAACTTGTAAGTTATAATTTAGTTATATATCACTATTAACTCTTCAGTTATAATGTATGTACCACAAAAATGCAAGACGTTAATAATAGGACAAATTGTTTGGAGGGAAAAAGAATCTAATTCCCTTCTATGAAACTGTCTTTAAAATTTGAAACTATAAATTATGAAAAATGCATACATACAGCATAGTACATACATACAGCAAAGTACACACATTTGTAGCACAGGAGATTCGGGGAAGATGGTAGCCACATAGATACCTAATCTTTCCACATCCTCATGTGAAAATAGACAAGCAACTTGCCTCTGTCTGCATGTTTGTGTATTTCACAAACACAAAATTCACACATTGAAACCTAATCCTCAAGCTGATGTTACTACAGGCAGGGCTTGGAGAAGTGATTAGTTCATAAGGCTCTTTCCTCAGTGGTAGAATTATACCTTGTAGAGAAGGCACTCGCTCCTACCATGTGAGAATACACAGAAGAGGAAGTGCCACCTCTGAGGAATGGGCCCTCAGCAGGCTGTGAATCTGCTAGCACAGCCTCTAGAACTGTGACAATAAACTTCTGCTGTTTATAAATCATCCAGTCTAAAGTATTTTCTTTACAGCAGCCCATATGGACTGCAAACAGCTAGATAGAAAAACCAAAACCCTTCAGACACTTACAATAAACTAAGTGACAAAGTATTCCCAGGAACTCTAAAACTGAAAGCAAATGCAGACAACCAATAGTCACAAAGCCTGCATGAAGCTGGGAGTGGTAGCACATTTCTCTAATCTCAATACTCTGGGAGGCTGAAGCAGAAGGACCACAACTTCAAGTCTTGCCTGGGCAACTAGTGATTGTCTCAAAATTTAAAAATTAAAAAGGCCTGGGATATGTAGCTTAGTGAGAAGAAACTGAATTTTATCCCTAGTACCACACAAAGAAAAAGAGAAGGAAGGAAAGAATGAACCTGCACAGAATCAGCATCAGTATGAGAGAATGAAGAAGGAAGAAATGGGGCAGTTTCTGATGGACTCATAAACCCCAAATAGCAAGAGGTACGGAAGACACAGCTGAGAGGGAGAGACTTTTGCTCTCTGTAATATTAGCTAAGTGCAAGCACCTCTCAGCAAGAACTGAGAGCTCCAGAACAGCCAGCTCCCAGGAACTCTGAATTCATTTGTCAGGTCCCCTCAAGTACATTAGGACCCCGACACTAAGGAGAAGCAATAAGGAGTAGAATCAAAATTGAGCAAGACACAAAAAAGAGAAAAAGCAAAAAGAAGTTTCCCATCCAAGTTAAAGAAAACAGTTCTGAGTCTCAAAGAACAAGCTTTCATATTCAAATTTTTAAAATTTTTACCATTGGGGCTGGGGATTTAGCTCAGCAGCATAAGCGCCTGCCTTGCAAGCAGGCAGTCGTGAGATCCCTGGTGCCGATAAAAACGAAAAAGAAAAAAAAAAAATTTTACCATTGAGATTTTTTTATTTGGTTTTTTTTTTTTTTTTTTTTTTTTGTCTTTTTCGTTTTTTTATTGGTACCAGGGATTGAACTCACAACTGCCTGCTTACAAGGCAGGTGCTTATGCTGCTGAGCTAAATCCCCAGCCCCTATTGAGATTTTTTTAAATGGCTGTTGTGATATGTATGTATTGGTTAATTTGCATTTCCTTAATAGTTGGGGTCTGGAACTAGATCCCCAATCTTCCAAATAAGTGCATGGTGAAGGGCCAAATGAAGGAGACAAGCAGTATGATCTTTAGGCTCCAGGAGGACCAAATGTTTCTGGACAGCCCATATTTATTCAAAACAAGAAAGGAGTTGAAGTGGAAAATACAGGAAACCTGAACAGGATCTCGGGAGGGGTTCAAGGATCCCTCAGATGATGCTAATCAAAGAAAACTATCCTAGGTGAAATTCTCCACGTGGTCTCAGCTGTGGCATATCTTGCCCC